TATACTCTCTATACAACAAAAACTTTTAATAACGTGAAATCTATTGTCTTCTATACTGAGCATCAGTTATTTTATGACAATATCTCTTCTATACTATACAATAGATTTCTACTGCTTGTATCAAGTTACTGATAATCACACTATAGTGTTTCATCTGAATTTATACAATATAATCACGTTTTGAGTTATCGATGAGAGTCATCCAATATCATCGAAAATATGAAATATAACACAGACGAAAGAAGCCTACTCGCACATTCTTTCTTCTTAGACATATTTGTAATAGTTCATAAGTATTCATCTATTGTCCATGAGGTCTAATCATCTTATATGGATTCAACTAAAATCTAATGATTGATAATTTCAAAGAATACTTCTTCGTATCTGTCTTATAGAATGAAATCGCAGAAACAAAAAGTTCTTTTATATTATATATCTGTTGATTTGTTATTTTATTTTTTCGTTTTCTATACAAAATTCCAATATGTAAATGACTTGAAAGATCGATAAAAGTAAATATTAGTTGTAGTAAAAAAATATTACCGCATCATCACGTTTTAATATCATGTTATTTTAATTGAAAATGAAGAAAAGAAGCCATTGAATTCGAGTTATATATTTGTCTGCTCATGTCACCGATAAGTATAAGTGAAGTGTTTTTTTCTGTTTGCTTGAGAGTGAAAGAATAAGGTAATCGATATGTCAAGACAGAGAGTTAAAAGAGAACAAAAACTGTATTATATTTCCAAGACTATAATACAAAATATGAATAGTTTTTTTTTCTAGTTATCATGGAAATGTATAAAATAAACTCGCCATCAGACAAAAATCTTCTATAATATCAAAACATTTTAATCTTAGATTACACTAAATATGGTTTAGTATTAATTCTACTATATACATATTGAAGATTTTCGAAATAATAATACTAATGACAAATAGATTCATGCTAGTATTTATCTTAAGTAAAAACAAAGATATAATAATGCTCTTGAGACGATTTTTCTTTCTAAAAATAGATATTCGAAGTGCTCAAAATACAAAAGAAATGATTTTAAGCGTCCTTCTTCAGTATTTGAATTTATGGTTCAAAGTGATTAGTTATCAGAACAAAAAGTTAAATTAATACCTTATTATAAATGTTGACCTGTGTTAGTTATGTCAATAGACAGAAATACGTAATGCCTCAGGTAAGAAGTGAAAGTATTGACAGGTAAATTTTGAACTTTATAGGAAATCTATTCGGAACTAATATACTAACTTGGATACATTCGATATGATTTCCCACGTCGTTTAAATGTACCACAACATAAAGCATTAAAAATAAATCCATCTGTTCCATTTGTCAGTGTATATCCATTTATTTTCAATGGCATTAAATCACTATCACCTGTTAATATATAATCATCATCATGAACAATTGAATCTGGTAAAAACCCACTAAATACACGTACTAATTGGGATAATTTAACAGCATATGAAGCATTACATTGTACATCTAAAACATGAGCACCAACGTGTTTTAAATAAGCACGTGATAATTTCAAACGAGCTGTAAGAACATTGGGAAGAGTAAAATCTCCAACAAATATAACTATTGCGTTATAACCAACTCGATTCCAACTTGACGCTGTTATAGGAGTATAAAACGAATATGATTGAACAGAAGAATGAATTGAACAAGCAAATATTGCAAACTGACGGTTCACATGTATTTTAGATATTTCTTCTGTTGCATTTACTGAGTGATATGTGGCTATAATACGATTATTTATTAAGTAGGTATGTAATGTCTCCCAAGTAATATTTGTGTTTAAATATAATGTAATTGAAACAATTAACAAAGCAATACATAATAGAAGAAATGCTGATTTCATACGACTTGATCCTGTCTAGAATATATATGAATATATTTAAAAAAAGAAGGAATAGTTATAGATTCAAAGTATACTGTTTGATTTGTTTCGAGTAATTGATTATTAATTGTCATATTGCTGAAGAAATAATGGAATCAGTTCTATCGTCAACTTGTCTTCATCTATTCATTTGAAGAGAGAGAGGAAGAAATATTTTAGATGTATTGCGTATGTGGAGGTCTATACATCATTCTTCCGAGCGAGAACATGTTTATAGCGAAAAGACAGCGTACATTGATAGTATTGGTAGAACAGGTAAAGGAAATGAAAGAAAAAAAGTCTGCTGAGTACACAAAGTGAAATCCAGCATAAAGAAGAAAAGGCAAAATGATGGGAACAAACAGAGCCATACTCGTTGTATAATGTTTGAATATATAAGAAAATCATCGACGAGACAGAATCAAAGAAGAAAAAAAAACTTTGTATTCAAAATAGACTACAAATATATTTATATTAAATTAATATTATAATCAAATGAATCAATCATCATTCTCAATCTATTTATTATGATATCATTTCAATATTCTTCTAATTGAACGAAAGAACATAATTTTATTCTCAGTTTTGTTTTATTAAAATACTTGTTTAATATTAGAGTTATTCTCTCGAGATCTCAATGATGAATAGAGTAATTGATCACGTTGATTATGAATATATTATTTCTATTCGCTGAAAATATACTCTCTTTCAGCATCAGATATAAAAGTAACATCGATGATTAGAGTACATATCAACTTTTTCAAATTTTCGTTTTATATGTTCTCATAAATTATGAATTTTACTAAAGTTTGATAGATTTATTAACATCAATAAAATACTGAAAACGTTTAAAAAGAATTTTTTTCTCTCCTTCTACCTGTTTTTTTTGTGTACATAATGAAACATGTGCACGAACGAACTCGTAAACACTTTTTTAAAAGTACAAAAACGGTTATAATAAAATGAAATTTTCAAGAAAAAATGGAAGTAAAGACTTATAAATTTCGGATAATGATGAAATGTTATTAAATATTGATCTTTCATGGTGAGTTACTTTATTATTTAATAGGCATAATATTTATAATGATCACTATATAATAGTCGTATTATGAAAAGAGTATATCATATAAACTAAATGAAATAAATTACGAACTCGTAATATTCGCTTATAATAAATAATCATAAGTGTGAAAAAGATAACTGATCGATATTATGTTCTATTTGTTACAGCGACTTATAGGCCATAGAAAACTAGATAAGTGTCCGGAAAGTATTTCAGTTTTTAGAAATAAACTGAGCAGGGTTGCCAAACCTCCTGATTTTTAATTCTTTTCTTGCTTAAGTTCTGACGACGTTTTATGTACAAAAAATGAGAAAAAAGAGAGTAGTCACAACTATATATATATGATAACAAATCAGGTAGCGCCAAATCAGTGTCATATGTCTCTAATTCTTTTGACAAAAACTTCATAAAAATATGAGATACACCTACGAACAAAATAAATCTGTCTCCCATTTTTATTTCT